AGGGAGCAGTAAGTGGCAAGACAAACGGTTCGCATGGCCATAATCCCTGTCAGGACATTTTAACCCCATACTCCCATACACCTGAGCTCACCACCATAGCAATGGGGAAAAAGAAAACCCGCCTATGAGTGGACCGCAGAGTTCAAACCCGGGCTATGCAAGAGCCAATGGCCGATCTGCCATTCTGCCTGGTACTGCCTCCTTTTCGCAGTAGGTGAGTAATGTCCGAATTTAACGAGACCCCAGCAACAGCCTTCTGCAATAAAGAGCACATCCAGCTGGTATCAGGATGGTCCTCATACTCAAAAACCCAACGCCTCCCTAAACACATCCAGGTGGGCTCCACGGGTTTCCCTTCAGCATGGTAGGAGCCCTGGTAACATAGTGGTTATGAATTGGGCTGCTAACTGCAAGGTCAGCAGTTTGAAATCACCAGCTCTTCCTTGGGAGAAAGACTGTGCTTTTTACTTGCATTAAGAGTTACAGTCTCAGAAGCTTGCAGGCATTGCTATGAGTCAGAATTGATGACTCAATGGCAGTACGTTTGTTTGGTTTGGGGATAAATTGCCTCCCAGAAGCTGAAGGGCCTTACAGAGAACTCACCCAAAGCTACAAGCAGTAGCCCATCCAAGTTCATATGCTTTCCTCATAAGGAAACCGCCAAAGATCCGATTGAAAATGTTCCGCTCCTATAGGACATAAAATGAACAGTAATACAAACTTGGAGTCACCTTCATACCCAAAGCAGAAGAATGAGTCCCAGAGAATGCAGGTCAGCTTAAAGGTGCAGGTCTGTTTAAAAGTCCTAGATGAGTATCACAGATGCAAGTAGCTGTGCTACTCAGAAGATGTCCTGCGAAGTTACATTACCTGGGGATGGCAGATTTGCAAGCTCTTCAATTTCGAATCCTCCATCCACACGGCATTTGGTGGCAAAACTCGACTTCGAAAACTTATAGTCCTATACAAATGGGAAGTTATTAAACCATGGGTAATGCCATGGGCGTTGTTGTTTTTTTCCTGCTAAAAAGTAAAACCTTTGAAAAACAACCCCCACCCTGGCCCCACCCTGCCCAAGCTGAGCTCTAGAGAAGGCCAATGTTTAAAGGCTCAGTCTGCAGTGTCCCCATCAGGACTTACTTTGAGTCCAGCGTGCTAAGAAACATCTCGTGTATGATGGTACTCTCCTCGGCACTGGGAGCCACTTTCAGTAACGACGAGGAGCTAAAGGCAATCCGTCTCCCCTTGTTCACTGGCATGTGGGGAGTAGGGGAACAATAAAAAGGATCTGTGGTCAAGAGGGTCTCACTACCATGCCGGGGTGGGGGTCCTGATCCTGGTCTTTTGGAGTCTGACAAAAGATGGGATTTTAGGGTTTCAAAAGGGCCACTGAAAAATTATACACATATCTAAGCAAAGGCTGCACAGATTACATCAGATTTCCATGATTCTTTGATTTCCCATGAGAATGATAGCAGTGTGGGCCTACTCACTGCCATTCTGCTTTAAGGCCCTGGGGGACAGTTATTCCATTAAAGATACTTCTGTTTCTTCAAGAAATGAGAAAAAAATCACTTAATATTGTTTGCTCAAGACACACTCTTTCAGAGCATGGAGCAGAAAAGACGCCCTGGTGACACAGTGGTCAAGCGCTTGGCTGCTAACTGAACGATCCTGGCTGGGAAAACCTGTAGAGGAGCTCTATTCTATCCTATAAGGTCGCTGCGTGTTGGAATCAGCTCGATAGCAATAGGTGTGGTTTATAGAGTAAAACGATACTTTTACTAGATTCTTGGCATCCACAACACCAGTGATTGGCAAGAAGAGCCCATGCATAGTCTCTTTGCAGAATACTTAATGAACTTTACAATACATCTTATTATAAGCACATGAACATACATTCTCCTTGTTCAAACAGCTTTTGCTCCTCTTCACTTTCAATGATGAGTGGATTTACAAATGCTGGCCTAAAGAGAAGCACACACATACAGTTTAGGTGTAGCTAATTGCCTCCATACACAACTGCCTGTTTTGCGGACGTCCCGATTTTGGAAAGAAGTCACGACAAGCTAGGGAATGGTCTATTTGGTCCATATAGACCAAATATTTAATCAAGAACACAC